TTGTTTTTCCGATTAAGTGTGATATATAACAATAATTGATAGGTTGAAAAATTTTTCAATTGACAGTCACAGTCCGCTTTATTTTTGATCATCCCTCGTAAACAATGGCGATTGCGGGAAATTACGCTAGGGCGAAAATAGTTCGTATTCATACGCATACAATGTTTTTCTTAAATTTACACTTATAAATGAAGCATTAGGCCCTATAAGCTTTAAAGTTAGCTGATCTGAAATCCGTATTCCATTACTTGCTAAATTTTTGAGTTCTATGACACTTAATAACTTGTGACAACATGTAATTTGTACTATATTTATGCAAGTACTTTGGCTATGACTGACCGCTGGCGTAGTAATATTAAAATCGCGTAAAGCAAAAATATACATACAATTTTAAAAGACGATTGCAAAATTTAGTACATAATTGGCCAGTCAATTTTAAAATAGATAGGGAACTATGATTTTGGGAGTTACTGCGAAGTTTTGGAACTATTTTGCTTAGCGTAGGTAGGTGACTATTTGTGTTCAAACCATAGTAAATCTGAATTGTCGTTATTCCATTGGGGGCGCATTGCGCATGCGCCCCCAAAAATGCATTTAGAAATAAAAAAGTTATAGCAAAAGTCCACGTAATTCTGGGACACCCCTCGTAAATGCTTGATTTAACATTTTCCCTGTATTAACAAGCTTTCGTCAATAAATTAATAACTTACGTACATATCCCATTCAGTCATAATATACTGACCCCATAGTGTCATATCCTAGATGTTGATCTGTAAACTTGGAGACTTCTAAAATTAATATATAAATAGTTTTTTATATTAGTTATGACGTGATAACTTGGAATCCAATTACAACCTCCTTCATAATTATGTTAAATACCTATAATTCTAAGATTCAAATGTTTAAGATTCAAAATTCTGTCACTACTCTCAAAACCAACATATTGCGTTTGCCACCAGCATGGATCCAGACCAGCCTGCGCATCAGTGCAGTCTGATCAGGATCCATGCTGTTCGCTTACCAACTCTATTACAAGTAGAGAAACTGATAGCGAACAGCATGGATCCTGATCAGACTGTGCGGATGCACAGGCTGGTCTGGATTGATGCTGGTCGCAAACCCACTGTGTTGGTTTTGTTGTGACGCGGCTCAAATATTCACACAAAAGAAAGGATACATGAACCAACTTCAAACACATTATTGTTTCCAATGATCATCACAGCCTGTGTGCCTCCTGGTGTGGCACTGGGCGCCGGCCTGAAAATAATGTAACTTTTAAATAACTTTTCATGGGTATATATAGATAGGACCTCATTCGAGTTGTCATATAAATGGTATTATCTGGTTAGCTCAAATTAATATACTAAGGTAGAATGTTGGACTGTGAATCGGGTGATCCAGGTTCGATTCCCGAACGGTGCAGGTCACTTTTGTTGTAATTGATCATGAAATCCTTTGGTCATTTGCACTGTACCTCTGCTCTGGCATGTACATGTACAGAAGTTATCAATTCCTTACGAAAGTGAGGCGAACTAGTATAATACTGCACTTTTTTAACAGTCTACCAAGGAACGATGCGGTGGCTGAACTGTGCTCTGGTAAATTCAATGTAGCTTACTGCTGTGATCCAGAGTGAAAACTACCAACACATTTTTATACATTTTATTTAAAAAAAAAATGAAATGAAAAAAAATGTTATAAAGGGATCCACTGGAAAGCTTTATTACATTGTCTTGTATGTGTTTAATAAAATTGTATTTAATATGATAACAAATGTGAGACTCTTAAGCATTAAAGTAAATGAAAATACACTTTTATGTGAACTTTTGATACCATTTCCTCTTATGAAATATAAAGGTGGAAATGATGTTCCGAGGATGTTATAATATGAAAAACAAGCAATTATCATAGTATTGCAAGCAATCCATAAGTCCCCTACCGGTAAGAGCCCAAGCAACATTCTGAAGGGCCATTGGCCATTCACTTATGTTTCTATTTTAAGTGATCACAGTGAACAGTTTTTATAGACAGACAGACAGACTGAAGGACACTCTAAAGTTATTTTTTAAACATCCCTGTTATCAAAATATAACATTTTTAATGCAAAATTTAAAAAAAAGGAGATAACGATGTCATACATGATGTGAGTGTAACAAAGAACAATTAGTAATGGAGGTATGAATATTGAATGTTTATTTTTAATTTGAAGTAAATGAAAGTTAAAATAACGAATAGGAAAAATAAAAAGTTTAAGGAGGAAATAATTCTGGAAATATGGATGCTAGATTTATAAACCTTGTCAAATTATTGTCATATTATTATGATGTGGGAGTTTGAAGAAAATCCTATCATAATTGAAGAAAATTACCAATTTCTCAAAAAAAAAGTCAAGTTCAAAAGGGCATAATTCTGGAAATAGTCTTGCTAGAGTATTGAACACTCACAAATGTTGAGTGATAATAATAAACATTTATATGAAGTTTGAAGTAGATACGTTCAGAAAAAAAGAAGTTATTAAAAAAAACAATGTTTTTTTCATGAAAATTTTAAGTTCCAGGGAGGTAATTTCTGATAAATTTTGTGCTAGAGTTGTAAACTTTGTCATATATGATGTGGTTGATGACTAGCAACTTATATTTAAAGATTGAAGAAAATACCTTAAGAAATAAAGAACTTATAGTGAAAAAACTGAAAAACTAGAATCAGAAATCTTGAAATTCAGTCTATTTGTTGCCATAGCAACCAGAATTTTCAATACAGGAAGATAAGAAAAGAATGTGCATAATTTCCATACTGCCATCTACCAATATGTCAAGTTTCATAAAAATATTTTCAGTAATTTTTGCGTTATCACTGGATCCAGGTTATGTGTAAAATTTGCCATATTTTCAGTCTATTTGTTGCCATAGCAACCAGAATTTTCAGCATAGGAAAAAAAGAAAAAGACGTGCATAATCTCCATACTGCCATCTATCCATATATCAAGTTTCATAAAAATATTTTCAGTACTTTTTGCGTTATCGCGGGATCCAGGTTATGTGTAAAATTTGCCATATTTTCAGTCTATTTGTTGCCATAGCAACCAGAATTTTCAACATAGGAAGAAAAGAAAAAGACGTGCATAATCTCCATACTGCCATCTATCCATATATCAAGTTTCATTAAAATATTTTCAGTACTTTTTGCGTTATCGCGGGATCCAGTTTTGTGGACGGACGGACTGACGGACGGACAGACGGACGGACAGACGGACGGTAAACCTAAAGTCCCCTCCGGTAAACCGGTAGGGGACTAATAAAAAGAAATATATGTTTGGGCTATTCTACATGTACATGGAAATTATTTGACCTCATGTGATAAAAATCTCTTAATGAGCTGTCAGTAATAAGTAAAACATTAATCTGTATCTTGGCAAATATCGTAAATATACATTTGTAATACCAAGGTAATTACAAGAATATTATACTAATTATACATTCCTGAAAATAAGGCTAGACCTGCCAAAATAGCACTTAAATATTTTGTTTCAGAAATGCTTACTACAGACTACATGTGCATAAAACAACTGAGACATTTATTGCTAAAACTTTCCTCATACATAACAATGTGATTTTATAGTTTTTTCATTTCTTATAATATTTTACCAGTTATAGCTTTAAATTTTTTAAAAGATCTTTCATGAATATAGACTACTGGTTGCAGTTTCACACAATTTAAACCAGTGTTTCTATATATAAGTCTACCTACGTTTGACACAACTGGTATGATTTGTTTATTTTCAAACCAAAAGGTGACAACTTTTAAACATGCTTTGGTGCTATAATATTTTAAATCCATGTATTTAGATGTGCTTATGCTTATAATTTTTAGTTGCTTTAATATCTTAATACCATGTACTTAAATGTGCTTATTCTTATATTTTTTTAGCTGCTTTACTTTTGTTAATACATGTACTATTGTTTGTTGGAAAATAGCTCATGAGCTAGTGTTTTCTGTTTAAATGTATCCGAGTAAAATAAATTTTCTTGTATCTTGCTTCAAGCAAAATATCTAAGCTATTGGCATTGATGTCTCAAACAAGAAGATATTAATGTGATTCATCTTACAGTGTATTTTAAACTTTGGTGACCTACTTAATCACCTTCAGGTTTTAAGAAGTTTTCATTTAAAGAACTATTAGATAAAATCAAGGTCCTCATTTCACGATATTTGGGAGCCACTCCCAAAGTACTATATATTTTTACCACCATTTCTTTTTAAATTTACCTGCCTAAGTAAAGCATATTAACCTGAACAATATAATATTGAAATTTATATCATAAATTATAAGTATTTTTGTTGACAATACAACTTCCCCTTCTTCAAAATGACGCAATATTCCCCTCTCAGAGGACCACAGCCCAAGATCCCCTGTATTATATAAGGTGTAGATGTTTTCCGTTAAAAATAGTCAAGAATGCGCAGATTTCAACACTTTTCTTTATTCTCATTCATGGAATAATATATCAATGTGATACAACAATGCGATCCTCGATTATGATCTACTTTCCATTGGAAAGCATCAATAAACAAAACACATCAACAATTTAAGCACTTCCGCCCAAGGCAAAACAACATATCAAAGTAACTGTTAATGACGTCACCGTAAAACAATTTAATGACGTCTTTTTACGGGAAACAAAATAAGACGTTTGGTTTGGCGGAAATAGTGAAGCTATCTTAAATTGAAAGAGTCAAACAATGTCTTTAATAGTAAATACTATCGAAACAAGAACCAGTTGAACCGGGTGATGCTCCCCGAGAAGGTTCTGGACACAGGAAAGTATAAAAAAAATGAACAAAGGGCAAAAACTCCAAAATTAGGCAAAGCGGAGTTATGTTTTTTTGCACTGCACTTCTATTCAATGAGATCTATCTATCTATAAAGTTTCCAGATGATATCAGAGTTATGTCCCGGGTAAAAGTCAAAGTGTAAAAATGAACAAAGGGCAATAACTCCAAAATTAGACCAGGCTTAGTTTAGGTTCTTTAAGCATTGCAGTTCTATCCAATTTTAATACACTTGTTACTATATATAGTAACAAAATTGCCCATGATTTCAACTGATTATGAGTGTCACGTGACCTATTATGAGTTTGCGGCCCGGGGCCCGAGAACTAGTTATCAGCCCGCAGAACTAATACACGTGCACAAACTAACAATGACGTCAGATTTTACGTCATCAAACAGTTAACTGTAAAAGTGAAAGTAGGTTTTTAGCATGAATCGCTTGATTTAATTGTGAACACAGTTTTTTAACTATTTAAATTTAAATAAATAATACGACAAATTCATTCCGAAAGAAAGAAAGAAAATAATACTTGCTTCTAGATTCTAGTGTACTTTGTACACATAAAAAGTAAACAACTCTGTAAAAGTAACAGTACAGTATATGTACAGACAGGAATTTCAACGTAAGAAATATCAAAGTATTTGTTTTAGTAAAATGTTACTATTAGATCTACCAAGTGTATTAAAGACATTAATACACGGCAGAGTAGGGCCGGAAGGTGATTATCGGCCCTGAAATGAATAATGCCCTCGGGCTGAAGCCCTCGGGCCATTATTCATTTTGCGGGCCGATTATCACCTTCCGGCCCTACTCTGCCGTGTATTAATCTCTTAATATCTAGCTACCTACAAAGTTTCATGTTGATATCTCTAATAGTTTTAAAGTGATGTCCAGGACAAAAGTCAAAAAGTAAAAATAAACAAAGGGCAATTACTTCAAAATAAGGCAAGGCAGAGTAATGATTCTTAAGCACTGCACTTCCACCCAATGAGACCTATCTATCTACAAAGATTCATGTTGATATCTCTTATAATTTTAGAGTAATGTCCCAGACAAAGTTCAAAGTGTCAAAATGAACAAAGGGCAATAACTCCAAAAGTAGGCAAGACAGTGTTACAGTTCTTGTGCACTGCAAACTTACTCAATGAGATCTATCTACCTACTAAGTTTCATGTTGATATCTCTTATACATTAAGAGTTATGTCCCGGACAAAGTTCAAAGTGTAAAAATAAACAAAGGGGGATAATTCAAAAATTAGGCAAGGCAGAGTTAAGGTTCTTGTTTACTGCACACCTACTCAATGAGATCTGTCTACCTACAAAGTTTCATGTTGATACCTCTTATACTTTTAGAGTTATGTCCAGGACAAAGTTCAAAGTGTAAAATTAACAAAGGGGAATAATTAAAAAATTAGACAAGGCAGAGTTACGGTTCTTGTGCACTGCACACCTACTCAATGAGATCTATCTACCTACAAAGTTTCATGTTGATACCTCTTATACTTTTAGAGTTATGTCCCGGACAAAGTTTAAAGTGTAAAATAAACAAAGGGGAATAATTCAAAAATCAGACAAGGCAGAGTTACGGTTCTTGTGCACTGCACACCTACTCAATGAGATCTATCTACTTAAAAGTTTCATGTTGATACCTCTTATACTTTTAGAGTTATGTCCAGGAAAAAGTTCAAAGTGTAAAATAAACAAAGGGGGATAATTCAAAAATTTGGCAATGCAGAGTTACGGTTCTTGTGCACTGCACACCTACTCAATGAGATCTATCTACCTACAAAGTTTCATGTTGATACCTCTTATACTTTTAGAGTTATGTCCTGGACAAGAAAAGGGGACGGACGGACGGACGGACGGAAAGACGGAAGTTCTCACAGGACAGTAATTATGTGGCTACTCTATTGTTCTCTCTATTGTTCTTTTTAGCCACACAAAAGAAAATAGCCACATAAAAGCATTACGGAATGAATGACATCAAAGAGAAAGAACAATTACCTATTGTCCCTCTAGCCACATAATATAATTACTGTCCTGTGAGTGCGGACGGACAAGGGGCAGCGACTATTATGCTCCCTCGAAATTTTTTCGGGGAGCATAAAAATCAAACTATGAAAATTATGTGATTATAATAAATAAATTTACAATTAAGAACTATAATTCTTACATAAGGTTTTTAGGACAATAATAATGGACAACATTGAAGGACAACTTGCTATCACCCTTTGTGTTCAGGTGACTGTGAGCTAAAAAAATGATTTGAAAATGAATGAAAAAATTTAAATACTGACTTATTTATTATGCATGCCAATTCTTCGATAATGTTGTTTTCTCCAATAATGATAGGCCCAGCCTCTGCAATTATCTTTGCTTTTGGATGAACAACTGTTCTTGTACCTGGAATTTAAAGAAATTATAAAAGGCGAAAAGTCAAGTTTGAATAGCACATGTAAATATGAAATTACAATTAGAAAATTTCTTGGTACACAATTTAGGTCATTATTTTTTTTCTCCATTTTTATAAGATTCATGGGTAAGTAAAAGCCTTGACAATCAATTTGTCAGTCAGTTAAAAAAGACAACCTTCTGATAGCATGGAGATCAGTTAATACAGAGATTCTAAGTAATTAAAATTAAAAATAAAATGGTATGCACTGAAATTCAAATAAAATAATAACACTTGTAACAAATATGTGGAGACTGTCTTCACATTTTTCTCAATAACAGAATACATGTCCATAGTTATGCTGCATTTTAGAGGAAAAAAAATCACTACAGTTTGTATTTCATTATGAAATTAATAAATCTGCGTGAACTATATTAACAAATTCATACCAATAGTTATGTCCCCATGTAGTTCACATTCATCACACACAATAGCGCCAGGAGCAATTTTTACGCTGAAAAAAAAACATGAAGTTCTACATTAAAATATGTGAATGCAGGGCTCTGGTTTGGTAAAATTTGGAGCCGAATATGGGCCCCATTCCCATATTAAAATAGTGTTTTTTCCCCCTAAAACCAAAAAATAATAATATACTACCTCCATAGATCAAGGATCATATTTTTAAGTTGAATTTTTATTATTATTATTATACAAAGATGACAGCAGCTTTTATATTGTTGATAAATTTAACTGAATCTTGTTTTCACTTGCAGAGACTATCTATTGACCTTTTCGAAAACCTAGCTAAACACCGTTTTCCGGTACGTTACCGATTTAGCTCTTGGGAATTACACCAAATGAAGAACATAACACAGTTACATGATATTTCTATTTTTCTTTCATTATTTTACCGTTTAAGGTGAAACAAAATGATGTTATTGAAAATTATCAATATTCCTTTAATATCTATTGCAAATTTTACAAAAAAATAAGTTGTTTATAACGAAAATCAATAAAATTTAAACAGACGTAGTGGAATCTTCCATAATAAATAAAGTTATTTTCGGCGTAAACTTGTGTATTTCAGAGCTCCAGATAGCGTGCGTATAAGCGTAAAATACGCATAGAAAATCTAAAATACCCATCACTTTCAAAATTCGTGCCTCACAGTTACGCACAACAAAATGATAATACGCTCGTATGTCAAAATTTATGCGTGAAGGAATAGAAGTGTAAACATTTGATACGTAAAAGAAAATGTTTTGAGCATAAAAATACAATATATTTCCATTTTATTGCATTGAAAACTAAAATTTCTGTTGTCAACAACGCATGTTAAAAACGAAAGTAGCAGGAAATACAGAAGGGAGGTAACTCCCGTAGATCAACCTGATGAAATTTGTGCCAGATAATCATCATAGGAGTTAACACAGTATTAAGTTTGTTTAGGCATCTATTGACATGCTTATGTCTCAATATTAACAAAAATATATGTTAATTTCTTTAACTTTTGTGGTTGGAACAAAATAAAATGTTTTTCACCTGTAGTTTTGTACTTAATATTTTCGTACCCACTCTACAGTTACGGACAATTTTCTCTCAGATCAATACTTTTGTTTAAGGAAAGATAAAAAAAATCTTGTTTATGTTTCTTTAATTCTAATTTCAACTATAATTGTTCAGAGATTTTGAAGTCTTTGACTTCCAATTTTTGAAAATGGAAGCCCTGATAATTTTGCTGTGTATCCTAAACTTGAGTTCAAGTATACTCTGGAAGTCTGATTTTACATGGCATGTTTTGTATTGTTTCACATTAAATCAGTATTTAATTTGTAAAGGTTTTTCTAAAAAAAAAGAAAATAAACAAACAAACAAACAAAACAATAAGTTTAATTTGTTTATAAAAAATGCAAAATGCTTTTTTGACAGATTTTACCCCTCAAGTTTTTCAGAATTTGCATTTTACCCCTCACTCTAAATTTTGAGGGGTAAAAACCCCTTGGCCAAAAAAATTATCTGGAGCTCTGGTATTTACTTTATTTTATGTATGGAAATATTCATACAATGATATTTAATTATTTTCGTATAAAGAAATAACTGTTTTATTTCAATTTAATTTTAATAAAGGCTCAAAACATCGAGTTAGCTATTACACTCCATTAGGTGAATTCCCCTGAGCTATGTACAGAAAGTACCGGAAAACGGCGTTTAACTAGGTTTTCGAATTCGTGAATAGGGAGATTTCTGTCTTCTAGCTGATATAAGTCAAATGCCATTAAGTTACGGTTCTGGTAAGGGAGACATATTGTCTTTTAGTTTTAAATTGAAAAATATTAGCTTGTGGGTAACATAAGAAAATTACTGCAATAAAGTTGTATTTGCACTTTTCTATGATATAAAATACAGTGCCTATGAATATTTTTTAATAATCTGTAAGTACAATACACATTAAATTTATCGACCAAAATCAGCTATTTGTGAATGTGATATCGATGTTTCAAAGGAATCGGATAATAATTACATATCCGAAGATATCTACACTTTGGTATTTCTTAACTGGATTTATATTGATATTACTGCATACATGTTAATTAAACCATTCATTGTATATTTATTTTAAAATTAGTATGTCAGACCATTTTAATGCCCTACTATGGCGCATAAAAGCACATTTAAACGTTTACCAACCTTGATTTTCCTTTTTGGGCAGCCATTTTGTTTAAAGGTTTCACACCACTAAAACATTGCAATCCGGTCAACTCGTCCCCTGGTCAACTCGTCCTGTGGTCATCTCGTCACCTTTTTGGTCAACTCGTCCCCTACTTTTGGTCAACTCGTCCTCAAAGAGTCAACTCGTCCTTAATATGGTCAACTCGTCCCCTACTTTCGATCTATTCGTCATTATTATGTTGTAAATCATTGTTTTTTTAAATAGTTCTTTTATGTAAAATATGTAAAATTAATAATGAATTTGATTGATATCGAAATATTAATAAAATAACATCTCTTTTACGTTAAATTTTCATGATCTTTATCTAAGCGCACGTGCAAAGCTTTGATGTAAAACTACAAAGACAGGTTAGTTTGCAAACATTCATTTAATGTTTAATTTTTTCATTTTTTTTTTTAAATAAAAAAATCCGTACATTGATATTTGCAGTGGATATTTACTGATTGAAAACATGATTGAAAACATAAAGTAATTACCAAATATTCAATTGCCATCTATTAATTAGTAAAGATTAACAATAAATTTCCATAAATAAATCTTTAAATTGATCTCAAAGAGGAGCTGTATAAAACCGAGTTCCAGAATTTCTTGTATAATACAAGTCAACATATTGAATGTATTAATTGTATTTAATCAACATTTTCATATATTTGACCATACACCATCAAAAACAAATTCGACATTTGGAAAATAAAATTTTATAACAACCTTTGGCACGATTTTCACGCAATTTGTATAATTTCAAATTAAAGACACGCGTTCTTTAAATATATAAATACGTATCCAGCCACCTAGACAAATGTGTCGTTAATCCTATTATCAAATTACTATGTGTTTACTTTAATAACCAAAGGCACGTGTCATGATATATTTAATTGACAACAATTTATACCATGCATACAACAGTACAGTATCCACTTATCGACAATCAACACGATAATTTAGTTCATTGTATCAAGTCTATTATTTTCAGGATGGCATAGAAGACTGAATGGGAGGGCTGGGGGAACACCTCTATTCTACCTTTTGATAAAACTTCTGTACGATGAGTGAGGAACTCTGAATTGATTAGTGAAGGAAGACTTCGCCGCTACCAGCGGAAAAAATACACCTTTCTCCAGGGACAGACTCACCAGCTGTGGGACAGGTACAGGAATGGGGAGTTGTCATCAACGGGACTTCTAAGAGAATTCGGGAACCTTTATAAGCCCCAAGTGTCGTAAGATGTCAGAAAAAAAAGACAACGAAATATGTGCATGAAAAAAACAATGAAAGTGTGAAAGTGAATATATATAACATAATATTGACAAAAAAAAACATACTATATGATATTTTATCATTGCATAAAACATGTTTTTATACATTAAATGTTATTGCTATTGATCGTCTTCGTGTTGTTTTTTTCTGTATGTAATTTAATCAGAATTATGCATATATATATCCCTATTATTAGATAAAACTCCAAATATTCGCATACAAAAAGCGTCAAAATATGTCCAGTTCAGTAATTTTATAATATATTACTTTTAATTAACAGTCTATAATAATTTATGAAATATATGGAAAAAGAATAGTAATAAAATGTAGGGGACGAGTTGGGGACGAGTTGACCAGGGGACGAGTTGACCAGGGGACGAGTTGACCAAAAAGGTGACGAGTTGACCAGAGGACGAGTTGACCAGGGGACGAGTTGACTCTGAATCAAAACATTTCCGTGTCCTAAAAGTATGGAATGCCGGTAGGGACATGCCACTTTGCTTATTTGCCAACTACTTAATTGCTTATTTGCTAATTGCTGATTTGCCAATTTGCTGATTTGCCAATTTGCTTATTTGCTAATTGCTTATTTGCTTATATAGATCTACATAAATTTTTATGCTATCGTCGCCTGGCGACACGTCCGACTCGCGAAGTTCTTGTTTGATATAAAATAACAAGTCTTTGTAGACTTTATTTCAAGCTCATGAACCTATATCATGTTATTATGTTTCTAAAGTTTTGTTAATTATAACTTGTGACAATTATGATCAATCTATCATTACCTAGAATATAGGTAGAAAGACAGATGGATACATTTTAATCAGTTTCGAAAAAAATAAATTCAGTTTCAGAAATTAGTTGTTTTTTTAATTATCTTGAGTTTCAGTTTTAGCTCCACTATTCAGAGAATAGGGATGCTATTCTACCCACCACTGCATTGGTTTTCTTGGTAACTTGTTTTTCTGTCATATCTCTGTTACTTTTGCTGATTCATGCATCTTACTGCAACTTTGCATAAACTTTGCGTTAAGTATGCATACAAAGTACATGAAGAAGCTGTGCCTGTTATATACTGAATGTCAAGGTCACCAATGTATTGTACTGAGAAACCTTTGTTTTTCTGTCATATCTCTGTTACTATTGCTAACTGTAACTTCACATAAACATTAAATAGGCAGCATGCATACACAATATTCAAAGAGGCTTTGTCCATTATACCCTAGGTCATGACTCATGATCATGGTCATGGTCACCTGATAGCATGTATAATGTACCAGGTACGTATATTAACATAATATACGTACCTGAATGTACAACATGAAGAAATGGAAAAGTGTGACCAAATTTCAAAAACATTGAACCAAAGCAAAATGTTGATGCATACACTGTGAGACATAAGTGATCTCAAAATCTTACAGAGCTAAAAACGAAGCCTATTGCTTAAGTGCAAAGACAAACACCCGTGTTAAGCATGCACCAAATGTATCATTCGTGATACTATGTGTTCGTACCACTAAAATGAGGCCCTTTGTGACAAATCTGCTGGGAATAATGACATTTTATATGCCATAAAATAAGAAATAGTTTTGTTTTCAAGTTCTTTTATTTTCAATCTTTTCCCAATAATTTTCACTTATATATGACTAATCAAGTGTTTATTATGCCATCAATCTCTGACTTAAGCTGCACAAACAGATCTATAGCTGCAACACATTATAAGGCATTCTCAAGCACAGATGCTGGCGGGTCAGGTCCTGCCCCTAACGTAATACGCGTCTGTAAACACTATATCAAAACTATTTTAATATTTATTTAAATACGAATTGGTCATCTGTTACAACGATAAAACCATTAAATACTTTATTGAAAACCATTAAATACTTTATTGAGACTTGGTACGTGGTTTATGGTATTTTTTCATACCGGTATATGTAAAAATTGCTTGAAAACCAGTTTTAACGATGTCCAATTCGTGTTTAAATATTTTAAATAGAGTGTTTACAGGGGCACGTATCACGTTGGGGTACGGGCACTGACCCCAAGTGTCTGTGTTCTCAAGGACATATCATCCATCAGTTGTAGACATATATCTGCGTAGGCATCACTGCAACTAAATTCATTGACCAACAGTATTCTTGGAAAAACACTGAATTTACAAGAATACTGTTGGTAAAAGTTAACAATTGTCTGTAGTCAGATTTTCCATATACTTCCGGCACAGTGTAAACTATTTCTATTGCAAAAAAGCAAATTAGCAATTGGCAAATAAGCAAATACGTAAACCAGCGGTTAACAAATAAGCAAATTAGCAATTCAGCAATTGGCAAATTTGTCATTAAGCCTATCAACCATTGGCAAATAAGCAAATCGGCAATTAGCAAATAAGCAATTCAGCAATTGGCAAATAAGCAAATTGGCATGTCCCTACCGGCATTCCATATAAAAGACTAAAATTTGTCAGGTTCATCATGTAGATCACATAGTTTTTATACGTGAACTACTAGGTTCCGTACATAAGCTGAAATGCGATTTGTACGTTTGACATGACTAGAAATGAAGACTATTTACATTTAAAATGCTTCATCAGTACATATGTGACATTTCCCATGCTTTTCCTGTAACAGCATGCCTCCAGATTCATGCTAATTTTCATGAAAATGCATTTAAAAGTAAAATGTTGTGAAGTGAAGGAAGAAATTAACAATCCACGTAAAAAGAGAAATAGAAGAAGTAAAAATATGCAAAAATCACTCATAAACTGCACAAAACATATAAATAATTACTTAAATCTTGAATCCTTTTACTTCTCTTAAAATCTATATAAGTACAGATTAAAAAATATTTTGGCTCATCTGGAGGCATGAAACTTAAAAAAGCCAAGAATTTTTAAAGTTTTTATTTTGAGTTAATTATTTTTTTAAACAATTTGGTTATTTTTGCAGAGGTATCAATAATTTCCTTGTATAAATGTTATGTTGTTTAAGCCGGTTCAAGGAGACGTGGTTGCAAGGTACCTAGCGGAAATGTACCATAGCGGTCCATTTAGGCCCAACAAACACAGATTGCAACATAATGGGGGGGGGGGGGGTCCTACCTGTATTTTTGATGTGGGAGGGGGCCTTTGTCCTATGTGTAAATTTAATGGGGGGGGGGGGGTTTGTCCACCTTGTCATTTTTAAATGGGGGGGGGGGGGGGGCTTTTGGCTTTTGTCCTACACTCATTTCTATTATATATGACCTGTTGGTTAGATGATGATTACAACTCTGTTGTCTGAGCCATGTGGCGACTGCAAATAATCTCACTGTTCAGTTATATTTCCTGAATGGTTCCAGTATTCATATTTGAGTACTATTCATTATCACACTTAATATTATGTTACCTGCTGCTCAGCCGTGTCTTTTGACAGCCAGCTGTCTGTGATATACATGCTTCTTACTAGCAAGTTCTGATCCCACCACAAAATTCCATTTAAATTAGTATATGAAAGGTTCCATGATACTGCCGAATAAATACATCTGCAGATATTTTAAAATTCTAGAATAATAAACGAGGTTTAACAGCAGCTGCCAATTTAAATGCTGTAAAGAAGCTGTTAAAACATGCCTCGTACTTCACTTCAGCGTTGTTATATTTTTCTGTTTCTTCGGAATCATTGATCGCACTACTTTGCAATGCTAAAGAATATATACTGCATAAGTCGGTGCTAGGGGGCGTGAGAGATGATGCACTCAAGAACAGAATCGAGCCG